TGTGCATGGATCACTTCACCCCAGAATAAAGGCTTGTCAGACATTCTAACACCTCCATGTATTTTCTTACATCTACCCGAATCCCGTGTGAACCTGCCTGGCCCTGAATGCTTGCAGGACAATGGGATGTACACATTAAAATCCTTTGGTAAGCTATTAAAAGAAGAATCTTAGCAAATATTCTCTCCACTATTTTTATTTCTTTGTTGGAAATATTGTGCATTCATTTTATTCACAATAAAAAATGGGCTTTTAAAAAAGTTGAAACCCTTGTTTGGTGATACTAATAATACTTGATGTTTTTAGCTACAAACCATATGGTAACATGGACTATAGATTATAATCAATTCTATTATTCATAAGTTATTTACATGGTTTATAATTGAGCGGATTGCTATCTCACCGGTTACCTTTTCAGGTACATTTTTTCTTTCTTTTTAAAGTATTGCTACCTAAGAATTTGCAGGTAAATTGATGGGAGGTAAAATATGTATTACTCAGTTCTGCTTTTTTCAGTAATTAGCTGATTTTACTGAAAGAATTTTAGGAAAAGGTTAAAAATTAAGAAATAAAACAGGATTTAGAGACTATCTTATGACTCCAGTTATCTGAGATTACACTCGGATAAAGTCATATTATATTATATATGTGCTAAGTCTCCAAAAGTTAATCATTAAATATAAACTTAGTTCTTGGTCCAGGTCATACTACTCACTATATTATCCATCATTTTTACATTGTTATGTTGATAACATTTCTAGCCCTAAGTTTTAACTTTCTTTTATGTTTAAGAAATAAAAAGTAGAGTTTGAAAAAGAAAAAAACATTTAAACCTAGCCACAAATCTATCTCTAAATCCTTGTGAAACTTTAAGAATAGCCACTTGAATTATGTGGCCTTAATTTCCTTATTTGTAAAATTTGCAAAATAATATTCCCACCTAATTCCTATATAGCAGTGGTTCTTACACTTAACTTCATATTAGTGTTACCTGGAGAGTTTTAAAAATTACTATACCTAGCATTATTCACAGTGGCTAAGACATGAAAACAACCAAAATGTCTCTCAATAGACAATTAGATAAAGATGTGGTACATATGTATACAATGGAATACTACTCAGCCATAATAAAATATGAAATACTGCCATTGCAACAACATGGCTAGATCTTGAGAATATCATGCTAAGCAAAATAAGTCCAACAGAAAAAGTCAAGAACCATATGACTGCACTCACATGCGCATGTAAAACTGAAAAGAAAAAATGAACAAACAATCTCAGAGACACAGACAATGCTATGGTGATTACCAGAGGGAAGGGAGGTAGGGGAGTAGTAAAGGGTAAAGGGGATCAAATATATGGTTATGGAAATAAGTTTTAATTTGGGTGGTAAATAAACCATTCAATCTACAGAGGATGTATTATAGAATTGTACACTTGAAATCTATATAATCTCATCAACAGATGTCACCCCAATAAATTTAATTTTTAAAAATTACTATGCTGAAATATTTCCCAAAATTTCTGATTTTGGGGTATAGCCTGGGCATCAAGATTGTTAACAGCTCTTCAAGTGATTATAATGTGCAGACATGTTTCAAAATTACTGGTATATCATATTTCAAGCACTTGTTATATTTATTAAAACTCAAGCTCTGCTCAATATTTTGAACTTACCTCCTATAGTTTCATCTACTCTCAGTGCTTTATCATGAATTGTGCCGACAGGAAGAAAAACAAATTAGTTTCTAAACATTCTGACCTAGAAAAGTCCTGATAAATAAATTCTAATCCAACCTCTTTGTGTGTGTGTGTGTGTGTGTGTGTGTGTGTGTGTGTGTGTGTGTGTGAAATAAAGAAAAATAAAAAAGTCCCAGAGAGGTTTTTTTATTTCCTAAGGACACAGTACTAACTGTTGTAGAATCAGCACTTGTACAAACTTTTGGTTTTTAAGATACTTCAGAAATGTGCAGAATACCACCTAAATTACAAATAAACATCAAATATTTATAGATATGGAAATTGAACAACAAGGAGATTGAAATAAAATGACAGCAGCTATTCTGTCAAAGTTAGAAGTAGATTCCGTACTATTCATCATGTAAAATTTGTTTCATCTAAAGGTTTTAAATTATAAAGTACATAAGAATTACCTGGAGAGCTTATTTAAAATGTGAATTCCTAAATATTTCCCTCAGATTCTGATTCAGGATGACTGGACGTGGGACCCAGGAACTTTAATTTTCAATACACTCCTAAGTGAGTTTAATGTAGGTTCCACAGACAAAAATTTAACAATGCTGAAAAAGACCTAGACCACTCATCCTCAAGCAACTTGCCTTAAGGGTTAACAGAAAGGTTGCATTAATGGGTATTTATTGTTCCAGGACCAATTTTACTTAACTGCAATTTTTTAATATAGAAAATTATTTCTTTAAGTTATGACTCTCCCTCTCTGAAAGTCACCAAAGGAAACATAAAAGCACTTATATACAAGGTATATAATGCTGGTTATCATATGAAGTCATACACTTCAACTGCCATAGCAATCTGAAATAGTTTCCAAAGTTCTCTTTAATACACAAGCATTGCCACAAAGTGTTATGGGAAAGTCATCATTTTTAAGGCATATAATGATTTAACTTATTCAAAAAAATAATGCGAAGATTTGAAACTACTGTATTAATAATATTTAACAAAATTCAACTTCTATTGGATTTAGTTAACTCCTCACTAATCTGTTTTTAAACTATTTTAAGAAAAGAGTTTCCTTCAGAAACAATTTAATAACTGGTAGGAAGAGGTTAAATCAAATTTCTAGGACCTTGCCAATTATTTGCATTTTGAATACTGATGTTGAATTTATTACAGTTGTCTATTAGCAATCAGCAAACTAATGATTTTGACAATAATGCTTCTGTTTCCAGTTTGACAGTTTTTGTGTAGTGAATACAAGCTTTATTATGAGTTTTAACATCAAGATGGTAGTACTAATAGCAAAATAATAAACTTTTTGCATTTGCTCTTAAATAGACCATGAGGTAATATACAAGACCTTTAAACTTTTCAGTTCAAGTCCATGAATAATTATTAAGTGATTACTATGTGTAAAGTGCCACTAATGCCAAGGACTGTACGGAAGGGAATACACAGATACATAATTCACAGCTATAATATGATAGAAATGTTTATATTTACATTGTGCTTCTGTTGGGATTTATTCATTAGATTCAAATGAACATTCCCTGAACTCCTCACCTCTGCTGAGTAGTGTTAACTGCTGGTTCCCACCTTCAGGGTCCAATCCAAAGTTAATATCTCAGATGCCTATGAACAAACGAGAAGTAGGAGGAAGAAGTGGCCTTATTGATCATCTCCTTCAACAATGTCTCTTATTTTTCTATTTTTTGTTATTTTGTCCCCTTGACTCTAGTAGTCTTCCTGATTCCAGACTGCATTCCTTGTACTTCAGGTTACCATCATGTCCACCCTTTTTTTGACCTGGTGTCTTTCTGCTTCTGTGACAGCCTAATGTGTGTTTTGCTGACTCTTGACACAATCAGACTCCTGATATCTCTGTTTGTCTTCTTATCCATTTATCTACTCCTTCACCAGCCCTTGGCACACACTGAAATCTCCCTATCCCAGGAACTTTCCCAGAGCAATTGACCACATGACAATGATCGAGTACTGCTGGTGTTCAGTGCACTCCATGTTAAAAACAGAGTTTACAACAAAGAAAGCACTGAAATAATCTATACATTTGAAATAATGAGAATTTAAAATTCTAAATGTTAAACCTTGAATAATCTTGTTAGAGTATAACACATGGGACATAAAAACTAATGGAATGCAATAAGTCCTAAGTATCAGTCAATCAACAAATATTTGAGTATCTACCATGGGCAAGGCACAGTACTTTAAAAGATTTCTAGCCACTGAAATACATTTACTTTTCAATGAATAAATGAGGTGCAACAAGATATTCCTTGGGGAGCCTGTTAAGAACCATTCAAAAAAATAAAACTATGGTACATTTACAGAATGGAATACTATGCAGCAGAAAGAAAAAATGACCTACTACACTTTGCAACAGCATGGATGGAACTAGAGAGCATTATGCTAAGTGAAATAAGCCAGGGGGCAAAAGACAAATACCATATGATATCACCTATAAGTGGAACCTAACCAACAAAACAAGATGCAAGGAAATAAGACCAGCAACACTGAAAGAAAAAAGAAAGCAACAGAGACAAGAGGGAAGGAGGGAGGGGTGGGTGGGGAAAAGGAAGGGAAGGGGTAAGTTGAGGAGCATATAGCAAGGACTCATGGACAAAGCCAAAGTGGGGAAAGATTTAGGGAGGGAGAGGGGTGAGGGGGGCAGGGGAAAGTGGTGGGGTGTAAGCAGAGACAAATGTATTGGAAAAATAAATAAATAAATAAATTTTAAAAATAAAAAAAACTCAACAGCAAAATAAACACTTGTGATAGTGAGGAAAGGCTATGTAATATCATTGTGAAAATTAAAAATAGTAATTAAATTCCTAAAATAAAGAACCATTCAAAAAATAAATATGAGGGCAAGAGTATGTAAAACCAATTCTAGTAATGCCACAGCAATTAAAATTGTGGGTCTTAACTTACTCTTGGCTAAACTGGTTGATAGCATATTTCAGCAGGGCTTGGAAAATCAGTTTGGTCTTTTAGATATTCTGAGAGAGGAAACTTTCAAACTGGTCATGTGGGATTCCCAAGAATCCAGTTCCTTGTACCAATCCACTCCCTGTTTATGAAAGTGCACTAGCTGGTACAATAGGGGAAAAAAAATGTCAGCACAGGAAGTCATCCAACCCTAATATGTTGACATGTAGTATAAACTCAATGGTGTTATTTTTTTACTAAGGTAGTTCTGGTTTAGGGTTGCGTGTGTGTACAGTTGGAGGAGGGGAAGGCCAAAGGGAATGTAGATAACTAAAGTGAAATAGAGCTGATGTATTCAGAGCTTATGTTGCTTGAGGCGAGATCAGTTACCTGCTTGCAACTGAAATTTCAAACTTCTGCATAGTGGTGACCTGAGTGGACAAATGGTGACTGACAGTTGGAAATATCAGCAGACATCTTAAATTTTATGCTCAAATGAACAAACAATGAACCAGGAGAATAAGTCCAGCTGTTTTCAGTTGCTTGTATTTTTTACCTTTTTATTTAGAATCACATCATCTTTTCCAATGAACGCCTACGTGACTGTGAATTATTACAATGAAACCAGCAACTACACTACAACAGAAACATGTGAATGTGGTGTTTATGGATTAGCCTCACCAGTGGCTAATGCTATGGGGGTGGTAGGCATCCCTAAGAACAATAACTACCAAGCTTGTGACTATAACACTGAGTTTACCAATACTAAGAAGCCCTGGATTGCACTGATAGAAAGAGGTAATTGTACATTTTCAGAAAAAATTCAGACAGCAAGCAGAAGAAATGCTGACGCTGTTGTGATTTACAACATTCCAGAGACCGGCAACCAGACGATACAGATGGCAAATTTTGGTAAGTAGTAATACATAGATTTACCCAAAAGAGTTAATATCTTTGTTTATTTTAAAATGGTATTTCCATCTAAAATTACTCTAGGATCAAGCAATGAGGGTGTAAAACAATTTTATTTTAAATTTTATTGCCTGGCACTACTGGGAATTAATTTACTATTATTTGATATTTATAATTAATTTGGTTCAAGAACAAAAAGAAATTTATGAAGTGGTTCTTGTTTTCTTTCATGATTTTCTTAGCTGTATTAGTTTTCTCAGTGTATATTATGTAATTGTGTTTTAATAATATAGGTTTTTTACCTCTAAACATTAAAGAAAGTAAATATTTTTACTTCGTTGTTAATTTGTACTTTTCAGTTTGATTCATTTTCTCATGCAAAAAAACTGTACGTATTTATGTATTACTATAGGTGAAAATGGACTCATTATGATTAAACAATAGCATATTGTAAGTGTGCAAAATTTTTACATAAATGAGAATTCAACTGTTTGCTGTATGCAGGTGAGACTTGAATTTATTTGTGGAAATAATACATATGAAAGTACTATGTAAGAAACATTATACATTGAAAAGGATATGGCAGAAACAGAATAACAATGTATAATTCACATAAAAGTAAAGGTTCCCTTAGAAATGTTTACTTATGAGTTCTTAAGTAAATATAATCATCAATTTATTAACTTTATAAAAGGATTTACTTCTCAGAATTACTATTTCTATTTTATTTTGTAAAAAATGCCACATTCAAAATACATGATTTTTATACCACTGAAGAAGTAGACTTCTGAATCAAGTTTTCTATACTGCAGGTGGGTATGGGTACTTTTTGCCCCAGGCTTGGTGCCCCTCCAAAATGGTAATAATATCAAACAAGAAAAGAGTTGAGAGAACACAGCATCAGGATAATTGGTGTTATCACTGTCAAATTTGGCCTCTGGAAAAAAATGTAAATTAAATTAAACAGGTGTCAGCATTATAAAAGAGAAAATCAAATTTGCATTAAGAATGTTAGAGTAATTGGAATATTCCAGGTTGTACACATATAATAATGGTAATTTAGTACTAATTTTTGAAAAACAAGCTGCTTGTTTTCCTGAGTATGGAAAAACCAGATGAGATAGTCTTTCTGCAGTATGTAATTATTGTAAATGTACAAAACTCTACTTGCTACCTTTTGTAACATATCCTAGACATTGCCAGAATTCAGACATTCACTTTATTTTTAAGAGCACTTCATAAGTATCCTCTGTGTGTTCTTATATTTTCAACAAGTGACTTTTATTTTTATAGAAATAAATGAGGTAATTCTCTGGTGAAAATTATAAATTAATCTTGTTCTAAGGAAGGTACTTCCTTTATGTTTCAACTTCTAGGTTCTGAGTACTCAAGGCTTCCTTTTACATGGACAATAACATTCTGCTTCTTCACTCCTTGGCTATTTTTAAAGTATAAACAGTACAAACCTAAATGGTAGTCCTGTTTTCTTTTTTTAAGTATATTTTATTGATTATGCTCTTACAGTTGTCCCACTATTTTTCTCTCCTTTATGCCCCTCTGCACTGCAACCCTCCTTACAGTATTCTACCCCTTTAGTTCATGTGTGGGGTCGTATATATAAGTTCTTTGGATTCTCCATTTCCTATACTATTCTTAACCTCCCCCTTTCTATTTTGTACCTACCAATTATGCTTCTTATTCCCAGTACATTTTCCTCCATTCTCCCTCCTCCCCCTCCCTGCTGATAACCCTCCATATGATCTCCACTTCTGTGCTTCTGTTCCTGTTCTAGTTGTTTGCTTTGTTTTTGTTTTTGATTGTTTTAGGTACAGTTGTTGATAGTCATGAATTTGTTGTCATTTTACTGTTCATAGTTTTGATCTTCTTTTTCTCAGATAAATCTTTTTATCATTTCATATAATACGGGCTTGGTGATGATGAACTCCTGTAACTTTATCTTATCTGGGAAGCACTTTATCTGCCCTTACATTCGAAATGATAGCTTTGCTGGATAGAGTAATCTAGGTTACAAGCCCTTGCTTTTCATCACTTTGAATATTTCTTTCCAGCCCCTTCTTGCCTGCAAGGTTTCATTTGAGAAATCAGCTGATAGTCTGATGGAACTCCTTTGTAGGTAACTCTCTCCTTTTCCATTGCTGCTTTTAAGATTTTCTCCTTATCTTTAATCTTGGGTAATGTAATTATGATCTGTCTTGGTGTGTTCCGCCTGGGTACAAATTCTTTGGGACTCTGTGTGCTTCCTGGACTTGCATGTCTAGCTCCTTCAACAGATTGGGGAAGTTTTCCTTCATTACTTTTTCAAATAAGTTTTCAATTTCTTGCTCTTCCTCTTCTCTTTCTGGCACCTCTATGATTCAGATGTTGAAACATTTAAAGTTGTCCCGGAGGTTCCTCAGATTCTCTCTCTCTCTCTCTCTCTCTCTCTCTCTCTCTCTCTCTCAATTCCTGTTTCTTCATTCTGTTCTGGTTCACTGTTTATTCCTTCCTTTTGGTCCAAATCATTGATTTGAGTCTTGGTTTCCTTTCCTTCACTGTTGGTTCTCTGTATATTTTTCTTTATTTCACTTTGTATAGCCTTCACTTCCTCCTTTATTTTGAAACTATACTCAGTCATTTCTGTGAGCATCTTGATTATCAGTGGTTTGAACTCTGTATCTGATAGGTTGGCGATTTCCTCATCACTTAGTTCTCTTTCTGGAGTTTTGGTTTGTACTTTCATTTGGACCATATTTCTTTGTCTTGTTACACCTGTTACCTTTTTTTAATAGCTTAAAATTTTATTTTTAAAATATCATTTTATCTCTTTTTTTGTTCTTTGTCAATCTATTTTTTTATTGTTGTTCAAGTACAATTGTCTCTATTTTCCCACCACCACTTTCACCCTCCCCACCTGCCCCCACCTTCCACCTTCAATTCTACCCACCTTTGGGTTTACATGTTTCTTGATGGTCCTTCCCCTTCTTTCCCCCGTTACCCCCTCTCCCCTCTGGTTACTTAAGTTTGTTCTTTATTTCAGTGTCTCTGGTTATATTTTGCTTGATCGTTTGTTTTGTTAATTAGATTCCACTTATAGGTGTGATCATATGGTATTTGTCTTTCACCACCTGGCAGTGAAACCTGTTACATTTTAAGGGGAAGAGCCTTAAGTATTCTCCAGGGCGGGTCAACCAACTTTGATGTGTCATATCACTGTTGTGGAGGAGGGGTCAGAGAGGGAACAATGCTGCTTGCTTGGCTCTCGGTCCGCTTTCACTCACTTTCCTCACTTCCCACAAGTGGATTGTGCCCTTTCATGTGCTTATTCCCAGGTAGGTGGGCTTGTGTACATTCTAGGATCCCATAGGCCTCTCCAATGGACTCTCCTGTGAGACTAGGATGTCCTCCCCACAACCGCTGTGTAAAAACCCCCATAGTTTTTACAGCCAGAGTTTTTGAGGCTTTAGTTTCCTGCATTGGGAGCCTAGATTGTGCAGTCTGTCTTGCTCCCCAGTTGCTCCTCCTGGCTTATCTACATGAAATGTGGGATCATATGGTCTGCCAGCTGCCACTTCCCCTGCCCAATCCACCAGCCACCACCCTGTGACACATCCTGGCCACCCCTGCTTCGCATTTACATTCCTCCTACCAGTCTGGATGAAAGTTTCTTCTTTAACTCCTTGGTTGTTGGACATCCATAAAGTTTGATTTTCTGGAAGTTCTGGTTGTTTTTTTGTTTTTAAGTTTGTTGTTATCCTTCTTTTATTTGTGTGAGGAAGCAAAGTGAATCTACCTACACCTTCATCTTGGCTGGATGCCCTGTTTTCAAAACTTGCTTTGCAACATACAGTAGGGGCCGACATCTAGTGGAATGTAGGTACTCAGCCACTGAATTTAAAAGACTTATCAAAGGTCACTTATAAGTAAATCTGACCAAAACACGTGCACATAGTCATTTGAATATATGCCTCTGAGTCAAGTTTAAAAATCAAGACAGTTCCATTTATCATTCAATATATACTTCCAACATGTGATCAAAAACATTTTTTAAAACTATGGCATTGCCCCTGTTATAAAATAAGCACGTTGAAAAAATAGTATAATGTTAGTAATTGCAATAGTTAGTATTACCATTTACTATATGTCAGGGACTGTTCTGTGTCCTTTATTTTATTTAATGAATATTGATATTTAACACTGGATGATCTTAAACCCAAAGAATTAAAATTGAAAGTTTAGTGTTTTGCACTTATGACACCTGCTCATTAGTGTGTCACTGCTGCTCTTCCTTACCAGAAATTTCCCTTATACAGAAACTGTTATGAGATGGAGTTGATAAACACAGGCAAACAAGTGTGGGAAAATCTATGATTAGCGTCCAGGTCAGCAATTTTCAACTGATGTACCACAAGAATTTTTTAAAATATGCAATACCTGACTATTTAGTCAGGGACACTGACCTCTTTTTTTTCTTAGATTGTCAAATTAAAAGATTACAATGGCCGGTGTGGCTCCATTGCTTGGAGTATCACCCTGTAACCAAAAGATAATGGGTTTTATTCCCAGTCAGGGCACATACATAAGTTTCAGTTTGGATGCCCCGTCCGGGCATGTACAGTACCCAGTCGGGCTGCATACAGGAGATAACCAATTGCTGTTTCTCTCTCACATCAATGTTTTTCTCTCTCAAAGCAATGAAAAAAAATGTCCTCTGGTGAGAATTTTAAAAAAAGGAGAGAACAGCCAACACAACAATAGCCATCCAGTGTGAATGAATCAAAATTATATGTATTTATTGTAAGAGCAACCAAAAATATATTTTTTTGGTGTGCTGCAGAATTTCACTAATTAGTTTATGTGTTCCATGAGATGAAAAAGGTTGAAAATCACTGCTCTGGGCCATGAATGATTGACTGATTATTTTATAACATAAGCCAAAATTTTGTTTAGTTTTACTGTCTTTTCATTAGTGTTTCTCTTGGTTCAGACACAGGGTGTGGACC